GAGAAGAAGAGGGTATAGTCCAGTGGTGGGTTTCAAATTTTTTTAGAACCTCTTCTGTAGGTGTGGCCTGCTTTGTGGGAGTGGCTTGCTAGCCATGTGACTGGGTGGGAGTGGCTTACTGGCCATGTGACTGGGTGGGCATGGCCAACTTGTAAAATGTGGTGAAACTCACTTAATTACGCTCTTGCTTAGCAACCAAAAGGTTAACTCAGAAACTCTGGCATTTGAAGCACGCAAGTCTTAAAGCTGTCAAGTTACAAGACCCTTGCATCCCTAACCCTTTAGAAGCCCCCCCCCCCGCCAGGGGTGTTCAAACTTGACAGCTTTAAGACTTGTGGACTTCAACTCCCAGAATTCCTCCTCTCGCTCTTCATCTTGATGATGTGCGGACGGGTAGGGGGAGGGAGCTGGAACCGGTTCTAAACAGCACTGTAGATTTATGGAACCTCTTCTATAGAAGAGGTTAGAACTGGCAGGAACCCACCCCTGGTATAGTCTATGTCAGGGGTGGGTTTCTCGCCCCGTTCCANAGCAAACCAATGAAAGGGCAAGGAGAATCAGCTAAGAAGGGCTGTGAGATCAGGGAAACAAGGAATATCCCCATGTGTTACCAGACATTGCACAACACCATATTTTTCGGAGTATAAGACGCAACTTCCCCCCACAAAAAAGATCAAAATCTGGATGCATCTTATAAACTCTGCCCCTTCACCAAAATGGCCGTGCATAGGTTTTGGGAGCCCTGCAAAGTGTTCTAGGGGGCTGGGGAGGGCAAAAACAAGTGAAAAATGGACTGGTTTTTTTTGCCTTTTTTGCCCTTCCCCCAGCCCGCAGGGCTATACACCTCCTAAAGGCTATGCTTGCCCCCTTTTTGGCAAAAAATGGGCTCATTTTCACAAAAACCAGCCTTTTTTGCTCGTTTCCCTTCCCCCCAGCCCCCAGGAATACTTTGCAGGCCTCTCAAAATCTCTACATGGCCGTCTTTGTGAAGGGGGCAGAGTTTTGGGAGGCCAAAAATGCTGTATTCAGTGTATAAGACACACCCAGATTTTCACCCTCTTTTATGGGAAGAAAGGTGCATCTTATACTCCCAAAAATATGGTATTGTTCAATGTCTGGTAACACACGGGGATATTCCTTGCTTCTCTGATTTTTTCACAAAAAAATGAGGCATGTGGAGGATTTGAGAGGTCTGCAGAGTGCAAAAACTTTTTTTTTTAATTTACCTCTTCAAAATCTTGGTGCGTCTTATACTCTGGCGCATCTTATATGCCTAAAAATACAGTAGTTTTGTCTTTCTATAGAAGGCTATGCATATACATCAGCAGTGGGATTCACTTATCTTCCCTACTGGTTCGCAAATGTGAGCGCACGTGCCATGTCTGCACATGTGCACGGCCTTCTGTGCATGCGCAGTGCTCACGGATTATGTTGTGGTGTGTGGGCAGAGGCTACCGCCACTACCGGTTCGCCAGAACTGGAGAGAACCAGCTGAATACCACCTCTTATATACATCTAGGTAGGTATATAGATATTAACAAAGCAGTGGTGGGGAAAGAATGCTACATTTACTCGTGGGAGATTATCTTGTCTGGGTGTACAGTGAAATTCCACAAATGAGTTAAGATGATGATGTTGTAAATGNAAGAGGAGCGCATGGGAGGGGGAAGGGAGAGGACAGGGATGATGGGCGTGGGAGTAGGGGGAAGAAAGGCCCCTCTCAATGGCTCCTGGTCAGATAAATGCTTTGACATCTATAAATACCTGGGCAACGCCGGATTATCAGATGGTAAGTTATAATTCCAGCCCCCCTCCCCACTTTCAAGTCCGTTGATGCGTATCTGGCACCAATTGCCTTCAGCACTGATAGATCAGTATTTTGGGTACAAGTAGCATGAAAAAAACTCATCGTGCTTTGGAAGTCTATCCTGGCTCCCCATTTTTTTGCGTCTGATGGGGCCCTGCAAATGACTTCAAATGCAGGCTGAGGGTCAAGTCCAAATCCAATTCATGTGACCCAAAGGGGTTGGGGCATTTATCAGAAGTCTGAATCCAGGTCGTAAGTACAGGTAGTCCATGACTTACAACTACAATGGAGCCCAAAATTGATGTGGCTATGCGAGACATTTGTGAAGTGGGTTTTATGATTTTTCTAAGAATATTCCAATAGTTTAATGCAAAGAAACACTAGGGGAGAAATGATAGCAGCCTTCCGATATCTCAGAGGTTGCCACAAAGAAGAGGAAGTCAAGATATTCTCCAAAGCACCAGAGGGCAGAACAAGAAGCAATGGGTGGAAACTAACCAAGGAGAGAGAAATTTCCTGACAGTGAGAACAATTAATCAGTGGAACAACTTGCCTCCAGAACTTGTGAATGCTGCAACACTGGAAGTTTTTAAGAAGATGTTAACTAATCACTTGTCTGAAGTGGTGTAGATTTTCCTGCCTAAGCAGGGGGTTGGACTAGAAGACCTCCGAGGTCCCTTCCAACTCTGTTATACTGTTATTCAGTTGTTAAGTGAATCACTGCAGTTTCTAAGTTAGTAGTCCGGTTGTTAAGCAAATTTGGGTTCCCCGTTGACTTTGCTTATCAGGAGGTCCACGAGATCACACGATCCCCGGGATACTGCGACCATCATAAATATGAGTCAGCTGCATGACCCTGGGGATGCTGCAATGGTCGTAAGTGTGAAAAATGGTCACAGGTCCCTTTTTTCAGTGACCAATTAAGCATTGCCTATTCTGCAGAGGAAGCTGTAAAGCTGAATGTCGGCCACTAGAGGGCGGAAACCTAACACTGAATGTTACTGAAACCAGAAGACTCAACTTTAATCAAAAAAGGACATTGGCAGCTGGAGAGGAGAGGAGAAACTTTCCCTTGGGGCAGTTTTATTGGTCCTGTGTGTGTTTTCCCTCCCATTGCATTAAAAAGCTTGTTCAGGCTGAGTCAATTGCTTAAGAGCTATGGAGATTCTCTGTCATCCAGGTCACGGGTGTCCCAAAAGTGTTTTTTCAGGAGGCAACTGGACTTTCTTGATTGTTTTTTCTTTTGAAGACATTCTGCTTCTCATCCAAGAAGCTTCTTCAGCTCTGGCTGGATGGTGGGGAATGGAAGGATGTATACTCCTTGCAGACAGCTGGACACCTGCATCCTTTTAGAGGGTTGTTGATGCTTCTTGGAGTTTTTCTGTATCCTCAGGGTCACCCGAGTTCCCGTAGTCTGCATTTTTTCTCTCTGGAAATCCATTCCTTCTCCCGCACCATTCCAAGGATGCTCATCCCAAATTGTATAGCTAAAGTCTGTAGAGATTCTAAGTCATACCAGATCACGGTTGTCCCAAAAGTGCTTTTTTTCAGGAGACAAATGGACTTTCTTGTTTTTTTTCTTTTGAAGCCATTTCACTTCTCATCCAAGAAGCTTCTTCAGCTCTGACAGGATGGTGGGGAATGGAAGGATTTATATTCCTTGCAGTCATCTGGTCATTGGTACTCTCTCGGAGAGTCCTTGAGGCCACTTGGAGGTTTATCTGTGTCCTCGGGAGTCACCTGAGTGGTGCAAATGGGTGTGTGGAGCCTTCTTGGGACTCTTGAAAGGACTGTGTGGAGGATTGGAGAAAGATGGTCTTTCATCCCTCCCCCTCTGTTGAGAAGGGGCTCTTCCATGTTAACACAGTTGGCCACAGAGGGGTTAAAGAGGCCATTCAGTTCATTCAGGGAGGGTTCAAAGATACGACGGCACTGAAAAAAGTGACCTATGACCATTTTTCACCCTTAGGACCAGAGATGGTATTCAGCCGGTTCGGACTGGTTTGCCCAAACCAGTAGGGAAATTGTGTGGGGGCCTGGGGGGCCACCCATCCACCCAGGCTTTATGCCATCCTATTTAGGCACATTTGTGAGGCCAGGTGCATGCAGGCGCGAGGCGGCACTGGTGTGGTGAACCAGTGGTAACAAAATGTGAAACCTTCTGCTGCTTAGGACCACATCCTCATGGTCATGTGATCAAAATTCAGATGCTTGGTAACTGACTTGCATTTATGACAGTTGCAATGTTATGTGATCCCCTTTTGCGACCTCCTGACAAAGGGGAACCCATATTCACCTAACAACCGGGGTTACTCACTTAACAACTGCAGTGATTCCCTTAACAAAGAGGGCAAGAAAAATCATAAAATGGGGCAAAACCCACTTAACCGACGTTGTGGTCATAAGTCAAGGACAACCTTGTAACCTGCTGAGGTTTCTTGATTTTTTTGGGGGGGTGGTGGTAAGGCAAAAATCCTAAATTTTGGGCTCCTTGCTCTTCTCTGAGTTTAGTTGTTTGCCTGCAGACGCTTCATTACCCAACTACGTAACATCATCAGTGCTTATTCAAAACACTGTAGGGAGTTAGCACCCACCCCTCTCCTCGGAAAATGAGATACTTTAGGAAATATTAAAAGGACATTAAAAGGGAGGCAAAGACTCAGCCCCCCCCCCTGCCTGCCCCCTCCTTTGTCAATGAGCCATTAAAGGCCTGGGCCAATCTATTCTACATAACAAGGATCCACCTCCTTCAGGCAGAGCCATAATAGGAATTGTCCAAAGCCCTTTCATTACATCATCACCCAGCAAGAGTCAACCAAGCTCGGGACTCAGGACAGCCTACCGAGTTGCCATGGGAGTCTGACAACCAATCAGAATACAAGCTCAAATTCAAAGTCCGAGGGAGGGCATAAAACCCAGAGCATCTCCTCCCTTTTTTTCTTCTTCACCCAACCTCTTCAAGACATGTGATCCTGTTCACCATTAAAACCTTCTTTCCAAGCAGTCTCCATGTTTCCAATGTCTTTTTCCCCACTTGGAACTGAAGCCGGATGGACACTTCCCCCCACAACACTGAATAGATAAATGACTCAAAGAATAACACTTGGAGGCTCACTCTGTGATCTGGCATTTTCCTGGGCCTCCTCTTGCGCTGCCCCCCCCCAATGCAGCGAAAGTGAAGTGGGGAACTTACTTGTGACAGCTGGACTCAAAGCCGTCACTCCGTAATAAGAGAACGGTCCAGTTTCAAACTTCATGTTCTCCTTCCCGGCTTCTACCTCCACTTTGCCCTGAAAGCAAAGACCAAAATAAAAGTCAGGATAAAACATCACCAGTTTAGCAGCTTTTCAGAAGTCTTTCAGTGCAGCTAAAGAAAATGTTGAAGGTTATTATTTTAGGGAAATGGATATGGGGTTGCATTTCTCACCTTTTATATTCAAAGGTGTTTTTGATCTGAATTGGGACCTTACTTTGCAGAATAAAAACAGTAGCGAGGGCGGGGGATATCTCTGTTGTGGCATTTCCAGTGGCAGACTCAGACAGTGAGGAGGTTGGGGAGGAACCTGGGCCAGTCCTGGAGTCTGGGGAACGTTTGGATGAGGGCTCTGTGTCGGAGGCAGAGAGGGGGCCAAAGCCATATGCCAGTTATCAGCTGCCTTCAGAGTCAGACAGCAATGAGGCAGAAGAACAGCTGGAGCCTATTCCCAATGTGCGCTTGCACAGAGCTGCCAGACGAAGGGAACAGCTAAGGAACAAGGACCGACTCGGGAGTAAAGATACAGGTGGCCGTTGAATGGCCCTTCCCCTAGGGAATAAAAGAGGAGCGAAAGGGGAGGGGAGTTTGCAGGAGACAATTAATTCAATTCATGAGGGTGAAGATCTGTTCCTGACTTCCAAGTAATTGTTGCTACATCATGGTGTTTGGAAGATATCGGCCTGGCAGCTCTCCAAGCCTAATAAAGGTCTTTAGTGGTGAAATCTTTTGAAAGACTGTTGGCTGGGACTTTGCTGGAGAGGAATTCACTTTAAACTAAACAAAAGGGGTTTTATCAGGATGAGGAGTTGGCTTTGTGCTTTTGGGAAGCCTAGGTCAGAATAATCTTTTTGGGAAATGGTCGTCACTTCCAAGCATTGCAATCTTTACCAGGAGTAAATTGGAGTTTAAAAATAAAACAGAATTGCAAATGTAGGGGCTTCTATCCAGATTAAGATAAGGGGGAGAAGGAGGTATTGAAATTAATACATAGTTGGTGTTTTTTTTACACTACGGTCAGTGGTGGGATTCAAATTTTTTTACTCTTGGTTTTGTGGGTGTGGCTTGGTGGGTGTGACTTGGTGGGTGTGATGATTTGGTGGGCGTGGCTTGGTTTGGTGGGCATGGCTTGGTAGGTGTGGCAGGGGAAGGATACTGCAAAATCCCCATTTCCTCACGATCAGCTGGGTAGTATCTGGACTACTCAAAATTTCTACTACCGGTTCTCCAGAACTGGTCAGAGCCTGCTGAATCTCACCTCTGACTACAGTTCACATTTAGAGCCAAGAAAGCAAATTTTTATTCATGCATTTATTGGTCTGATTTATATAACTGTCCAACTCACTTTTATGTGACGCCAGGAAAATTCACAATCGAACAAATTACATATATAAAATAAGCAATGAATAAAAACAAAAAACACATTACAGATGAGCTTCATTTAATCCAGGTGCATCCAACTTTGACAACTTTTCAGACTTGTGGACTTTAACTCCCTGAACTTCCCAACCAGCCTGATTTAACCCTTGATGTAATCTATCATCCACTCAACCAGAAAACAGCTCTAATACACACCCAGAGCTCCAACCTTGGGCAAAAAGCCAAATATTCAGGATCTTACAAAAAGCCAAAAACAGAGATGGGCCAATCTAATCTCAGAAGCGGGATAATGTTCAGAATGACGGGCACCATAGCAAAAAAAATGGCTGGGGAGCATAGCTGGCTGAGGAATTCTGGGAGATGAAGTCCACACTCCTTAAAGTTGCTAAGAAGAATAGGATAGAGCTGGAAAGGACCTTGGAGGTCTTCTAGTCTAGCCCTCTGCTCAAACAGGAGAACCAATATTATTTCAGATAAGTGGTTATCCAATCTCTTCTTAAAAACCTCCAGGGATGAAGCACCCACCATTTCTGGTGGCAAGTTGTTCCACTGGTTAAGTGTCCTCACTGTTAGAAGTTTCTCCTTAATTTAAGGTTGCTTCTCTCCTTAGTTAACTGTTTAACTGTTTATTTCATTTGTATGCCGCCCTTTTCCCCGGAGGGGGACTCAGGGCGGCTCACAACTCAAAACAAGGGAAGGGGGGATACAAACAATTTGACAAACAACACAAAACAATACATAATTTAAAAGCGCAACAATCATACCATTCGAGAGAGGGGCACGGTTCTTTAGCCCCAGGCCTGTCGGAACAGCCAGGTTTTAAGGGCTTTGCGGAAGGCCTGGAGGGTGGTGAGGGTGCGAATCTCCACGGGGAGTTCGTTCCAGAGGGTCGGAGCAGCCACAGAGAAGGCTCTCCTCCGGGTAGTCGCCAGTCGACACTGGCCAGCGGATGGAATTCAGAGGAGGCCTAGTCTGTGGGATCTAATCGGTCTGGTGGAGGTAATTGGCAGCAGGTGGTCTCTCAAGTACCCAGGTCCAATACCATGAAGGGCTTTATAAGTGACGACTAGCGCCTTGAAGCGTATCCGGAGACCAATAGGCAGCCAGTGCAGCTCGCGGAGGATAGGTGTTACGTGGGTGAACCGAGGTGCACCCATGATCGCTCGTGCGGCTGCATTCTGGACAAGCTGAAGTCGCCGAATGCTCTTCAAGGGCTGCCCCATGTAGAGCACGTTGCAGTTAGTTCCCATCCATTGTTTCTTGCCTTGCCTTCTGGTGCTTTGGAGAATAATTTGACCCCCTCTTCTTTGGGGCAGCCCCTCAAATACTGGGAAATTGCTATCATGTCCCCCCTAGTCCTCCTTTTCTCTAGACTGGCTGTATCCAAATCCTGCAACTATTCTTCATATAGTTTAGTCTCCAGGCCTTTGATCATCTTGGTTGCCCTTCTCTGAACTTTTTCCAAGGTCTCAAACTCTGTTTCGTATTAGGGCGACCAAAATGTGTTGTAGTATTCCAGGTGTGGCCACACTAGGGGTTTTATAAAGTGGCACTACTGCTACTTCATGTGGTCTTGACTCTATGCCTCTGTTTATACAACCCAGGATAACGTGGATAACAGATGGATAACAGAAGCTTCCCGAGAACAAAGGATGGACATCCCTGACTTAAAGAGTATTTTGTTACTACAGCGGTTCTAACAGGTTCCGTGGCCTGTACAATTAGAAAATCTGTTTTATAATACCACAGATGCTAGTTGGAGCTTAATCTAAGCCCACAGAATTCAGAAAAACTATATTCTGTTGATTGAGAAGATGAGAGTTGATGGGGTGGGTGGGCATTCTCAGCCAAATATCACAATTAAGATGCAACAATTAAAGCTCTTTAAAATCTCCTGCTGTTTTTTTTCTTCTTAATAGCAACTCTGCCAAGGAGGACGAATTCTGCTCATATTTCCCAGGCTCAAAGCTGCTACGAGATTCCATGGTTTGCAAATGAATGGTAGAGAAAGGCCCGGATTTCACCCTAATCCTTCCACCCTGGTTAAACCCAGACCTACACAGGGAAATTTGGCATGCACCACAATGCCGTCCCATGCATCACGCCATTGCCCAAAGGACGCAAACAATGTAACCTCATTATTGAGCAAATGAGTCGAATTACATAATCTGAATTTAATGCAGATAACCCAAGTTTCTTCACAGCATGAAGGAAAGTTATAGCATTGGATGAAGTTTCATCACTGTAGGAAGAAGAATTGGCAGAGCTTGGGAGGCGGAGTTAAGTGAGTCACCAGCTTGGAATCGTTAAAAGGTAAAGGTTCCCCTTGCACGAATGTGCTAGTGATTCCCAACTCTAGGGGGCGGTGCTCATCCTTTCAAAGCCAAAAAGCCAGAGCCAGTGGCTTGGTGGGTGTGGTGGGGAAGGATACTGCAAAATGCCCATTCCCCCCCAATCAGCTGGGACTCGGGAGGCAGAGAATAGATGAGGGTGGGGCCAGCCAGAGGTAGTATTTGCCGGTTCTCCAAACTACTCAAAATTTCCGCTACCGGTTCTCTAGAACTGCTCAGAACCGGCTGAATACCACCTCTGCTTGTGATGCATGTGACATCACCCCAAGCCCAACGTGCCCCTAAGACCCCCTTCTCCTCCCACTTCCGTAAGATTGGTCCCCTCCTTTTCCGGTTGAATCTGGAGCAGCCCCGTTACCTGAAGGATGAGGATGAAGAAATCGGCTGGTTTGTTCCGGTTGAAGAGGAAATGCCGGGGAGACTTCTTGTCCTCCTCGTCGAATTTCAGCTCATTGATGACGTCACGGTGCTTGAGAAGGCGCAACAGGATTTTTTCCGAAATGAAAGCAGGTGTGAACTGCGTCACCTCTGGAGGGATAAAAGAACAGAGGGTTGATATCCGTGGCTCAGTGGCTATAATGCTGAGCATGTGGGAAAGATCGGCAGTTCAGTGGTTTGAATCCCTAGTGCCGCTTAACGTAGTGAGCTCCCATTACTTGTCCCAGCTTCTGCCAACCTAGCAGTTTGAAAGCATGTAAAAAATGCAAGTAGAAAAATAGGAACCACCTTTGGTGGGAAGGTAACAGCATTCCGTGGGCCTTCAGCAGTAAGTCATGTTGGCCACATGACCACAGAGACCTCTTTGGACAGCACTGGCTCTTCGGCTTTGAAATGGAGATGAGCACCTCCCCCTAGAGACGGGAACAACTAGCACATATGTGCGTGGTGAACCTTTACCTTACCAGTATTTGAGGGGCTGCCAGAAAGAAAAGGATGCACTTATTTTCCCAAGTAACAGAGGCAAGACAAGAAGTGATAGATGGAAACTAATCAAGGAGAGTTGGAAAAGTGAAGGGAAGAGTACTAGGGCTCCATTTAACAAAATGAAATTCATTATAGAGAAAAGTGAAGTTCTACAGTTAGGTAAGAAAAACCAAAAGTACAAACTGGGTGAAACTGGGCTTAATAGCAGTCACTGTGAGGGGGATCTTGGAGCCTTAGTGGACAATCAGCTAAATATGAGCCAGCAGTGTGCGGTGACAGACAAAAAAGCCAATGCAATCCTAAATTGCACTAATAGTGGGATTAAACCTCAAGATCAAGTGAGGTACTAATGCCACTCTATAAAGCCTTAGTAAGGCCACACCTAGAGTACTGCATCCAGTTTTGGTCACCACA